ACAACTAATATATTTCACAATTACATCATTTTGTAAGGCTTCCAAGTACAGTTCTGAGTTTTTTGTGGGAAAGCTCAACATAAATATCATACTGTTACATACATACATATGTTTATGTTTGAACTCTTTTTGCCGTACTTCCATCTAAACACATGGGCTACCCAAATAGCTAAATGAAAACAGATTTGAGAAGCTTAAGACCGATTCAATTTCTTAAAAAATCGTATTGAAACTCAGTTGATATGTTCCTTTCACTTTCTCTCTCCATCATACACATACTCCCAATATAGCCTAAGTGTAGAGTATGTTACGAGAGTTAAGAAAAACTTTACTAAAAAGTTCCTATAGTATTTAATATGAAAAAATCCAGACAAAACCAAACTATATTTTATTGTAACTTTAAGAAAACATATATTATATACATACATATTTATATGTATGTATGTATATGAAATGCGGGCGTCTGTTTATTCAATTTTTGTAATCTCAAGGTGTTTCATGGAATACACCTTTTAATATATATAACAAACTATGAGTAAGAAAATGCATTGAACAAGAATAAATGTTGCATCAAAAAAAAATGAATATACTACAAACTGTAGTTTGCAATACATGCATACATATATATATATAGAGTATAGTAGAGTAGAGTATATATATGTATGTATGTTACATATATATATATATATATATATATGTATGTATGTATATAATATTATAATAATAAAAAACATACATACAGACATGCAAGAACGACATAAAATCCTCGCAAAGCCTTCGATGAAAATACGAAGGCAAGTTTATTACACTTGCCAAAGTTCCTGTATGTACTTGCCAAAGTACATATGTATGTATGTAGGTAAACATCCATGCGCTCATGCATACATGAACATGAACCCCACCCTCAACACACAGAATATAATATGGGGAGCTCAGATCATGTTACATTGCAACTCTCCTTATACATAGACAAACAATACATATATGACATATCATCATATACATACATACATAAATAACGAAAGCCTCTGACTAGATTTGACAGCTCAATAATACTATTAACATGAAAATGTTTATTTTCTTCTTCAGATTTGACGCTATCCCCATTTTTTTTATTCCTAAGAATTATTTTTATTTGGGCTTTGTTTCGTAACTTGGTCATGTTACAAAAATATTTTGTGTGCAAAAGTGAGGGAAGGGTGTTAATATAACCTTACCATTGCTAGTTATCTGCATAGAGACATCCACGATTCATAAATCAGGATGTAATTAAATTTAAAAGAAAAAGTAATTTTAATATTAATATCTACGTACGTGTGTATTAACCAGAGTTGCTGCAAATTTGAGTAGAACTTACAAAAATGAAAGATATAAATACATATTTATAAAGTTCCTATATATTTAATGAATGGCAAAAGATGTGCATATATTATAAAATTATGACTAAATAAAGATATGAACAATACATAAAGAATAATATTTTTTAATTTTCTTTTACATATCTTTTAAATGTGCTGTATCAAAAGCTTGGGTATTCTGCTTGCTAAAGTATGACTGGCACGTACACATGCATATACCGGTTTTAGAAATTAGCAAGTATCCGGTAGCTCAACTCAGAAAAAATCCTAAAGGCAATTGGAATTATGTAAAGTTAAGATGTTAAAGGGATGTTTGAGCGGCACCAAGCAGATGCATGGACGGAAGAAATACGGAAGGAACTGCTGGCAGGTCATTAATAGAGTGTAAAAAGTAGGGAGCCTAGATGGCTACCCTGTGGTACTCCAGAAGTATCCATAACAGTTGAAGATAAAGAGTTTTTGAAGAGGACTCTTTGGTTCTCTATTAGGAAAGATTGCAGTCGACCAACGTCATATGCGACTATGCCTAGACTATGATATAGGGCACACCACGTTAAAAAAAAGTGCCCCTTTAACTCTACCTACATGGTGGTTTGCCGTAGGAACCATCCGTCAAATATCGCATTTATCAACTTTGACCACCTCTAAGCCACCTCTAAACGATTTCGAATCGGGCCAAAATTTTATTGTTTTAGGCCAAAAGTACAATTTTTGGAACCTCACCCCTTCGATTCCGACTCATTTTTTTTCGCCCATACAAATAAGCGCAACCCTAGTGAGCACTCACTAGATTCAAGATTCAGAATTTGAGAAAGGGAATGCTCGTAAAGGCCGAAATTCAAGAAGTCCAATTAAGTCGGACACTCGCCACTACCACTAGAGAAGTTGGCTCTGAAATTCTTTTATTCTTTCTAGAGTCTGCAAACTGATAGATGATTATGATACAATCTGATTCTCCACGATAGTGCAATACTTTTCGCTTTTCTCCTATCTTCAAAGTTGTGAATGCCACAGATTTTTCTAGCTCTTATAGGGAATTTTGAAAACTCTGGACACTCATCGGGACAGAGAAGACTTTATCGACTCGGCTTATCCAGGATATACTTTAATGCGTTGGAAACACATCACTTTGACCACAAATCTATTAACTTCAGAATATAAAAACGAATTGGGTCGTGTGAGATGCTTCTAAGGCGTCACAATTTGTATACCCGGTACTCAGTAGTACATCAGTACCTTAGGGGTTTTTTTCATATTTTACATTTTACATTTTTTCAACATACATATGTCATCTACATCTACATCACTTCTCACGCACGCCTCTGCACTGCAGAGTGTGAATGAGAGAATGTGCAAAGAAACAAAAAAAAAAGCTGCGGGACGGGGTGGGTTTAGCCAGGGAAAAATAATTTCTTCATTCTGGCTATAATAAACATTTGCTATATATATCTACATCACTTCTTACACCCAGACGCCCCCAGACTTTAGCTTCCCCCTGCGACAGAGCCACACACTGCACGATGCAGGGTGTGCGAGCGAGAGAGAATTAAAAGTAGCTGATTTTCGAGTCTACGCTATCCGAATATTGACCAAAAAAGTATTCCGTAGACAAGTCTTCACGCATTCATCTTACATCGATAGACTAATAGTTGCTGAGTCCTGGCTTTGTTTTTTATACCCGGTACTCGAAGAGTAAATAGGGTATATTGTATTTTTGAGAATAGCGAATATAAGAATATAAGAATAATGGATAACGGGAATAATGTGAAATTCGAAAAAATCATAGGGATATGATATGTACATATGTATGTATATATTTATCACACTAAGGTTACGAATATACATATGTAGATTACATATATATGTACATACGAAACTGAGTACCGGGTATAAGAGTAGTGACGCGTACGATGCGTCTCACGTTCCTCCTCGTTAATAATCTTGATCAGGCATACATACATACATAAATATGCACATTTTTATACCAGGTACTCGAAGAGTAAATAGGGTATATTGTATTTGCGCGAATAACGGTTGTATGTAACGATCAGAAGGAAACGTTCCCGACCATATAAAGTATATATATTCTTGATTAACATCAATAGACGAGTCGATAGAGCCATGTCTGTCTGTCCGTCTGTCTATCCAGACTGCTATATGCTCACACTGAAACCAGTGTATTTCAAATATTAGCCCCGCCCCCGAAAAAGTGCGAAAACCTCCCAAATCAAAAATTTTGTAGATAACAGAAAACTAAAAACGCCATTCCGTAGGGAGTGACCATATCTATTAGATCAAATTGGGATCCGATTGGATCATTATTATAGCCACAATGAAGAAATTAATTTCCAGTGGCTAAACCCACCCCGTCCCGGCCTCTGGCTCTCGCGTTCCTCTGCCTCTGCTAAAGGAGCGTGTTGGCGTGGGAATTGTTGTAGATGTCGATGACAGATGAAGAAAAAATGTAAAATTTGACAAAAAACAGATGTAGTACTGAGTAGGGGGTATAAAACTTATGACGAGTAAGAAGCGTCTCACACGTCCCTTCCCGTTCCATGTGCAAACAGTATCATCGGGCATAATATCTGAAGCAATATCATGAACAATACTTACATTCATTTAAGGAAAATATGAATTATTTTAGGCTTTATTATGGCCCAGAAAGTGCTTACACTGTCTACAATGAGCAAACGAAATAAACACGTAGACATGAAATATTATTCTAGTAAAACATAATCAAGTATACATATATAAGAATATACATACGGACAAAGGTATTTCTTTATAAAATAAATAAATAGTAATTAATTATTACACACAATATACACATTTCGTCACAGTCTTCCGTATTACTTCTGTATTTATGTCACAATTATATTAGTAAGCATGAATATGAATGTTTATGTAAAGATTTATGCTTCCAAGCCTTCTCCTAAAACTTACCAATCTACCATAAATAATTTCCCTATTTCTGCATTCAGAAAAAGCTTAGCTTAGCTTACCGAATACACCTATTTTTATAGGAAAGAGTAATAAAAAAAAAACCATTTCTTATTGAGTCACTAAAGTGTCTCCAGTAATTAAAGAAAAAGTCAATGAAATTTAAAATTACAGTGGCAAACTGTTATGCTATTTTATGCGAAAAAATTTGGGAAAATCGATAGTTCTCCAGTATTCATAATTCATAGAAAACAACAGTTGCAACACCATAGCGAAAGTCGATGTTTTGACACAAATTTTCTATGCTAAAATAATTATAAGCTTGCGAGTGCTAGTCACACAATGATATGTACATATCACCAGAAATTATCAGAACTATTATGAATATATGTTGATAATGTTATACATACATATTTACATACATTAGTTTCTATATACAGCAATTCGATGCTAAAAAGATATTTCTAGTCGAACCGTTCTTTATATTGTAATATTATGATGGTTATAATTTTTTTTGGCGTTCCGATAGTATTTACCGAAATGTCTCTTCGGTCCATTTCACAAGTAATGAAGCCTCTATTGAGAAATCAAAAAACCTTAGCTGTCCAAAATAAAGTTCGCACTTCAGTGGAAAATAGTCAACAAATATTCTTATGGTAGAAGCCTTGGCTACTGTTAGCTACTTTTATCTCTTGTTTTTGCACAGTTACATTTATTATGCCTAGACAGTAATCATTAACTTGTAATGCAATACTCTTGGCAATAACTATCGCAGCATGATATAATCATGGATCTGGATTTTTGTATTGCATTAAAAATACAATTATTTCATTATTAAACAACCAAAATACTCAAATAATTATATTACAGAATATACGCGAACATGTTTTTTCTTTTTATCAAAGCAAACAATAAAGCACATATATTACTATTATTATTATTAGTACTCCGATTGTTAATAATTTTATGTACATAATATTTGAAACAGTACAGCTTGTAAATTTGTCTTTCTTTAAATATACGCGTTATGGTGGCAATAGTTGATTCATTTGAAAAGTCGCTCAAAGTATTACGTTGGTGTTCTGTTGAATAGTCCATGTATACTGTTTATTGATTGCACTTTTAATTACTGATTTTATTGTTGTAGTAATGCGTTGCTAACATTCATTAACACAAATTTAAATAATATTTTAATTACTTAAAATACAAAAAAATGTATGTAAAATACATAAATCCTTTGCTTATAAACTTTTAACATTGTGTAACCAAAATTAAATTCGAGGTGTGCACACACGTGTGCATTAAGTTTAATAGTTATTATTAGGACACTGTGCACAAACCTACATGCCCGGTAGACCATTTTGACCATTGACAAGTAGGGTACATATATACGAGTATATCAATAACCATATAAGATACATCTATAAATGTTTGCACGTAGTATGTTGTTTGTAATATGTATTTATATACATTGACATTGGTAGCAAGTAGCTATCTTGGATATCGTTGCTTGGCTAGCCAATAGATTAATTTCTGTACACGTAAGTACTGGATATTAACACTATTTAACCTAGATTATATCAAAACGTGTTATCTCTTTTTTTCGCACAGTTACATGTATTCTGCCTAGACAGTGATCTTTCATTTGTAATGCAATACTCTTGGCAATAACTACCGCAGCATGATATAATCATGAATATGGATAGTTGTCTTGCATTAAAAAAACAGTGACGTATCTTAAAAACATAAGCACTGAGAAATAATTCCTTAAAAAAGTTAAAATGGTCACGCTTTTCCATGAGTATTCGTTTTGTTAATATTCGCATTTGATATTTTTACGTATTCGTATTTATGTAAAAGAGCCATGCATAAATCTACTGTTAGTTTCTATTATATCAATATTTAAGGCAGCTGCTACACTTTTATCACTGTTTAAACCGTCTTGATACTCATCACCTAAACATAAAAAAAATGGCGGGCAATATTTGTAATAGCGATTTTCAGGCTCGTTTCAGTAAAAAGTTAAATTCGTTGGTTTAATGTTGGCAATAAAAAAAAATAAATCAAAGGCATTTCATTACTAGTATATGTAGAATACGTTTTTCCCTGTAACGGGGCGCCATTTAAAGTTTCGTTTAGGAGAATCGGATCATTGGATCACACTGCGACGGCGAATAGTATTAGTTTCACATTGCTTATAATTTATCATTTACTGTCGGTTCATGCAAGGCTCTTGTAGAGGAATATTATCAAAGTGTTTTTAAGTTTGAGTAAGTAACAAATGTTCTGTTATTGGGGAAATTGAATTGTCGTTTACATACATATATAATATAACTTGTCATTATTATATTTAATTATTATTGTGTTCTCCAATTTTAGTATGTAACGGTATATCAAAGAAAAATCTATTAGGCGAAGTCTTTGGTAATCTTACTTATTAAATCTAAGGGTTTCTTAAACTAGAATCGGCAAGGCCGGAGATTGATAAATATTGCTGAGATGCGACGGGACGCAAGTGTTGTAGCTGTGCCCTACGATTCACATTCGCATCGAGCCGCATTATTCGTATCGTTGTGATTCTGGTTACGCCAATTGCTGATGCAGCTCCTTTTGTTCTTGTTCTTGTTGTGGTTGTGGTGGCTGCCATCAGAAACCTCCGTATCCGCTTATGTCGGACGGCTTGAGACGATCAAAGACGCTGAGATGATGCGTGGGGTGGTTATGGTGAGTATGAGCATGACCATAAGTTGGATAGTTTGTTTGTGTCGGTGTGTGACCATACGGGTGGTGAGCATATGGATAATTGGGACTTGGCACATGCAATGTGGGTGTGCTGCCTGGCCCTGTAGCTTGTGCGGGACTACCCAGGCCGTAGTGGCCATGAGCAGTAGCATATTCGCCTGGACCTGTGCCATGTTGGGGATGCGATCCATACGCTGTTGGCGCGTACACTGAATTTACATTTACTGGTGACATATGAGCCATGTGACTGGTAATATGCGCATGATCCATATACATTTGTGGATGCGGATGTGGATGCGGATGTGTATGTGGGTGTGGATGTGGATGGGCTTCCGAACTATTTATTGTTGCTCCCAACGCGCTAGTGATCAAATGTGTGGCATTATGCGGATAACCGGTGGGGCTATGGATGGCATATTCATTGCTGGTGCTGCAATTGTTGTGACTGTTGTTACTATGTTCGCTGTTGTCTCGATTTTCTGCCCTGCTGGTATATGCTGTTACGTTGTCCGTAGTCGCAGCGGAGGCAGCGAGATTGCTAACAGAAAAATTATTGTTCAGTACATTGCTGACGTCGTTGGCAGATCCACAGGACTCTGCCTGTACTGTGCTGTCCTGGTGACAACGTTTCTGCTGCTGTAGTCCCAATAGTCGACTTTCAACAGCAGCAGCCGCAGCAGCTGCCGTTGCTGGTGGTATGGTGCTCGAATCGTGCTCTCTGATAGCGGGAATTTGATCAACCAGTGACTCTAAGCCCGACAAGCTTTTACGTGCGACGTCTGAAACGATTTGGACAGATGTACTTGGGTTCTGACTCGGCATGTTTCCCAGTTGAGGACTCTGCTCCAGTTGATGGTGCGGAGAAATTAGCAAATAGGGATTTTGGTCCTCATAGCGCTGCCAGTGCTCCTGATGTTCCTGATGGTATTGCAATGGCTGTGGCTGCTGCTGCATTTGCTGAAGAATCTGTTTTTGACCTAGGTGCGTATGTGGCGAAATCCACTGTTGATAATGGTCCTGAGAAGGTACTGCGATCGCATCTGCTTCATGGTCAGGACTAACATATTGGGCTTTGTCCACAACTTGCGTATGCTGTTGCCCTATCCCGAGTATTTGTTCCTGTGCCTGCCCTTGGGTTTGCTCCCGTCCTTGCCCATCAGAGTTATCATCCGGTTGATCGAAATCGACCGCAGAGCATATATTCGGAGAATTAGGCGGCGGCGTTTCGCCCAAGTGCGGTTGATCTCTTATTCCCATCCCCATTGGCTGGCTCTGTTTTTGGGTCAGCATGTGATCATTCTGTTGATCGAGGATAGGTGGCGTGGTACCATGAGCAGCAGACACCGACTGACCCACTGGCGGAGTTCCATGTCCGTGTACTTGAGTGTAGTTGCAGTTTAGTGCAGGGGATGCCATTGGCGACGCCGATGCCGTATACAATAAATGAGAAGGTGGCGGCGTATTGTACAGATTGGGCGGCATCTGATGGTTGCTCTGTGGCGATGATGACGCAACATGCTCCATTGAGACCGGGTGCATGGCAGACAATCCTGCTGACTGTGAGTTGGGATTTGTGTTGGTATGTTGGTGCTGTTGCTGTTTGGCTGGGATTATGTTATCGATTGTGGGCTTTAGCTTCTTTGGCCTGCCCCGCTTTTTCTTGGGAATTTCCGGATTTATTGCACCCGCAATCATGGAAAGATTCATAATATTATTAAAGTCGTGGTGTGCCATTTGTTGACTACTCATAGCTATTTTGCTAGCCGTGGAAGAATCAGTCATATCTTGCCCCTTTACTTTCTTTGGTCTGCCGCGTTTCTTCTTTTCTTGCGGCTGCTGTGGTAAGCCCTGTTGATGTCCAAACAAATAATTGTTTTCCCCCAAGCTAGTGGTGTTTGGGGCATTTCTTATAGTATTATCTCCGCCAGTATATGCAAACGTTCCACGTTCAATTACACTGTTAGGGGATGGCAAATTAGGAGCCATATGTGGTAATAGTTTCTCAGATATCTGACTAGACCCTTCAATGCTTCCTCCTTCGCTACCACCACCACCACTTCCATCGGCAAATATCAAGCCAGCTTGCTGATCGACATGCGGATGTATAGTAATGTTGACGTCAGTTTGCTGGTGCTGCTGCAGTTGCTGCTGCTCACTGCATTGACGTATGCGCTGATCAGTGAATACGCACTCCGACTCATCAATGTTGGGTATAAGACCATTCAGAAAGTCGCGAAACTTCTTTAGAGCCGCATAGAAGGGAACTTTATCTGCGGCGCGTGGCAGCTGAGCGCATCGTGCTGATGATGACGGCATCACCCAAATGTACTGAAAAAAATGGAATTGAACTCTTGTGAGTGTTTAAGTCAATGGCAAAATAATACATGAGTTGAACGAACATTTAAATCGAATTCACATGTACAGTGGGTAATCTATGTATAGTCGATAATAACTAGATAACAACTCACTGTGTCAGTGCCATCGACCCGGTCAGGTTGACGACCAAAGTGAAATTCCTTTTTTCCCGAAAAGACTTCGAATATCAGTTTTCCATTGAAAACGGCGACTTTTGGTCGGAACCTTTGCAGCTTTTCGAGCAAAATGCGGCTACCTTCCTTAATTTCTTTTCTGGTCAAGTCAGCCGAGCCTTTCGTAGCACGCGCCACCATATTAGTAAAGCCAATGCCAAGATTAAGCAGCTTGTGATCCTCATCCGCGCTCATTTGCTCCTGCGTGAGTCCAGCCAAGTACAAGCACTTCCAGAAATGATTTCCGGGTCCAGCGTAGTGATGCCCTTTGTATGCCGCAAAGAGACCAGGATTTATACCGACCTGTCAAGTATAGGAGGAAGGTTTCAGGAATGGCTCTCCAACAAAGACTTGGTTTGGGAAATAGGATGATCGCGTTTCTTTCGAAATTTACAACTCACTATAACGATATCAAGATTATCACATAGATGGTCTGGAATAGTCCTCTTAATGACCTCTGCCTCGGACATGCCATTAAATCTGTCGTGCTTCTTGCGCTCCTTGGGCTTCATTCCCAGTAGCGAATCGCCAGCAGGATCATCGCCAGAATTAGCGGCACAGTTTCTGTTGAGCAAAGGTCGATATCAAAATAGATGAAATACACGCGATTGGCAGACCTGACTCCATACGCCTGTGACAAATGTAAATGCAGTTCAAAAAGCACTTACCCTTGTTGAGAAACGGATGTGGCCATTTGCATAGCATCCCCGTCAGTTAAAAGCTTCTTTTTCCGACCTCTTTTCTTCGGAGTTGGCTTAGAGGGTAGTCCACAGTTAGAGTTGTCATTGGACTTAACTTTATCTGTGTCATTGTAAGGCTCGCTGTTGTGAGGTTGCTGTTGTGAATGCGGTAGCTGATGTTGAAGTTGATATATATCCCCCCCGGAACACTCCGGGTTTCCATTTGGCACTGAAAGTGACCCTGCTATGGTTGCATAGTTTGCCGCATTAGAGGCGACGTCCTCTATATGGCGGTTGACAGGGGAGAGCATGCGCATCTCCTCACCCATGAAACTATATGGATCGACACCAGCAGCATTTGCATTGCTGGAACCTCGGGAGTTTACACTCTGGCTATGCGCCATGGCAAGATGTGGCAGTGGTGGAGGAGCCTGTGCCTGATTGCCATTGGTGCTGGAAGCAGAGGGGCCATCAGGAACAGCCTCTAATGCAACTGTAATCTGGGATGACACCATATCTTCCGTTTTGTTTTGACTTAGTTGCATTAGACCAATATTGGGGTGTTGCATCTGATGCTGTGGTGTGGCAGAGTGTGTTGACGAGCTGTGGGAGTTGGGAGTCAGTACATCGCCAGCACTGGTCTCGTAGCCATCATCTTGATTTTCTGGCTTCACATTACCAGGAGAGAGCGTTCTGTAAGGACAAAAATATTAACCATTGTCGATAAGACATTGTTCCATACTTCAGAGGATGACTTTTTACTGAATATTTATACCCGGTACTCGAAGAGTAAATAGGGTATATTGTATTTGTGGGGAATAACGGTTGTTCATATGTAACGCACAGAAGGAAACGTTTCCGACCCCATAAAGTATATATATTCTTGATCAGCATCAATAGCCGAGTCGATTGAGCCATGTCTGTCCGTCCGTCTAGTTAAGCGCCTGGATCTCAGGGAATATAAAAGCCAGAGCCACCAAATTTTGCATCCAGACTTCTGTATGCTCACACTGTTACAAGTGTATTTAAAAAATGAGCCAATTGAATTCCGTAGGAAATGGCCATATATATAAGATCACCCAATTGGGATCCGATCGGATCATTATTATAGCCACAATGCAGAAATTAATTTTCAGTGGCTAAACCCACCCTGTCCCGCAGCTTTTGTTGTTCTCGTTACATTCTCTTATTCACACTCTGCTTCTGCTTCACTCGGCCCCTGCCTCTGCCGTCCCTCTGCCTATGCCAACTTTTAACCCACTCCGTCCCGCAGCTTATATTTGTTTTTTTTTTTGTGCCGGCGCTGCCTCTGCCTCTGCCACGAGTCTGCAGTGTGTTGGTCTAGGGAAGGGCGGCGAGCTAAAGGAGCGTGCTCGTGTGAGTAGTGTTGTAGATGTGAATGACAGATGAAGAAAAAATGTTAAATTTGACAAAACACCGCTAAGGTGCAGAAGTAGTACTGAGTACCGGGTATAAAAGTTGTAACGCGTAAGAAGCGTCTCACACGTCCCTTCTCGTTTTCATTACTTACAATTTGTACGCGGAGCTGGGATCTTCGTGAAAATCCTCCATAATGAGATCGTGATAAGCTTCGTTTAGTTGCTGCTGCTGTTGTTGGACAGTACTAGCCGGCTGATGCAGATGCCCATGACACTCCATCTCCATGTGATGTGGAAGCTCTTGCTGTTGCTGACGATGATGATCAGACCCTTGATGTGCTCCAAAGAGTCCAGAATGCTGAAAATGTGAGCCATAGCTGGAGTAGCTTGCATGCTGCTGATGTCGGGAGTTTTGGTCAAGAATGATCTGTGAATGTTGATGGTGCTGTTGTTGCATCATTTGTGCGTACATATTGCTATGAAGCTGGCTATCAAGAATTTGCTGTTGGCCGTATTGAACCTGTGTTGAATTATCGTGATGATGCTTCAGCGCTAATGGAAGTGCTTCAACTGCTTCAGAGCCTTCTTTCTCTATCTGAAGCAACAGTTCAGAGTGTCTTTGCTGCTGCACCGTACGATAAGGCAGCTCTGATCCCTGCTTGGTGTCGTCTGGTGTCGTTGTCTCTGGCGTTGTTGCCTGCACTTGCTCGTCATCATGTGGAGCCCATATCGAAGTCCTTCGATCGGCCAGCAAAATATCACCTGTTGCTGCTGCTAATGCTAAGTTAGTAGGATTTCTTACATTCAAATTTGAGGAGTCATTTACACAACCATCGATTTTATCATTTGCCAAACTTCTTGTCGAATTGGAGGAACCAGTGGCGTTATAAACAGCAGCCGAATTGTACTGCAGTTTGTTGCTGTTGATCAGGGATGAATCTCCCACTGACCCAGAACTTGGCTGCTCCGAGAGCCGCACAGTCGCTGGCTGTGGCGCTGGTACTACCAACTCTACGCTCGTAACCAGAGCCTGCTCCGGTGCAATATAGAGAGTGTTATCATAGCCGACAGTCTTTTTAGTACTCTTACTGCTCCCACAGTTACTAGAGCTATCGAGAATTGAAACTGACTGTGCTTCTTCTTGTGCTTCCTTGACGGTGCCAGATTGATGTTGAGATTTGTCGCTATCTCCCACACTCTTTTCCGGTTGCACGTCAGGATCTTGAATGGGATCATCGAAATCAACGTTGCTCCTGTTACTGGTTTCAGCCAGACCACAAAACTTTTGGCGCTTGCAATTATTCGAACGACCGGCGCCCTTGCTGGAGTTGCCATTCGCTGAACTACTATATGGGTTGGACTCTAACGCTGCCACCGTCGCACTCACTGTCTCCGTTTCCGTGCCCAATTTTCCATCTTCAGTAGAGGCCATTTCAATACCAGTAAGCTTCCTTATTCTCTGCTGTATGCTAAGGTTAATCAAGGCTACTTGCAGGACTTTAATTAAATCTTCTTGACCGGCGGAAGAAATATTTTCTTGCGTTGGCAGTCTTCTTAAGAATATTGGAGCTACTTTAGGCGTGTTAGTAAAGGAACTACTTATCAGTGGGATCTTCTCTGGCAATAAACTTTCCACTTGCATCTCCTTGTTATTAAACGTCCATTTATACATAAAACTGTGGCTGAAAATCGTTTTATGCCGATTCCATCACGATCTTGTCGATAGTTAGGCCTTCTAAGACTAATCGAATATGTTTCTCATAGGTAATCACATGAAATTCCGTGCGCCTCTCATGGCTGTATAGAGAAGTTACTCGTGCCGACTGAGTGGAATTAAGTAACAGACACGTCAAATCTATGACTGAAAGGATTGGATTTTAAACAAATTAACAAAATTAATATATTTTTGTTTTGTTTGTTTTGGTTGACATGCAGTATGTACATATGTACATATATTGTTAGTACGTTCATCATTACTATAAGCAGAAGTTTCGTTTCTATTTTACTCCCCATCAAATAAAAGTATATCTTATACATACATACGTATGTAGATTGGACAATCATACATAAACAATAAAAAATGGTATGTCCCTTATGGATACATGTACATATTTCCGTATTTTATGAATGTGGCTATAGGGACGTACAAGTGTATTTATGTATGTATGTATATGTACCAAGACTAGCTACGCATACATAGCCACATTCATAAAATACGGAAATATGTACATGTATATGTATGTAAGCATGTACATCCATCCATAAATTAAAGTATGTATTTATATTTATATTTTGATGGATAATATTAGCCATATACTGCAAGCCTTGGAAGCCATTAAATATTAAAAGGCTAAATATTAAATGTATGTACATATATACTATTGATAAATCCAATGTCCCTTACAGCTTACAGATCGTACTGATCGTTCACATGGCAAGTGGTACTTTTCCTATGGAAGCTGCACATATGTACATACATATGTATGTACATATATATGCGAATACACTATAAGATGTAAAATCTGAATTGCATCCATATGTAAGTATTTACATCTTCAGAGTTGCAACCATCCATCCAACCAATAATGTCCCCTTTATTATGCAGGATGTACATATGTAAGAACGTTCATGTACATACATACTTTAATTTATGGATACATGTACATATTTCCGTATTTTATGAATGTGGCTATAAGGACGTACAAGTGTATTTATGTATGTATGTATATGTACCAAGACTAGCTACGCATACAGATTGAAATATGCATACACATAATATTTAAGCAAAGCCCCCAAATGCAACGGAGCGAAAAATTGCAATGGCAAGCTATGCATATATTTGTGCACATGTACTATGTATGACTGTGTATACCTACGTCTGTACTTGTGTGTCCAAACTACTGTACCAGAAAGTTTAGCAAAGCCAGCAACAAAAACAACAGCAGCAGCAGAAACAGCAACATCCAAGCCAGTACGCACTCACGAAAAGCTCATATATTGTGTGGCTGTGTGCATGTGTGGGACTCTGTGTACAGTTATTCCGAATAACAGGGTTCAACACCAAAAACAGGCTCATCCTAAAAAATATCCTGCATTTATAAAAGATACCACTTTACTTAGTATTTACATATTGCCTGAGCATGACGGTTTGGGTCGCATATGATAGAATTTAGTGCAATGCAACAGCGTAGGGCCATGGGCACCCTGTTTATAAAAAATACATTTGTATATATGTATATGAATGTATGTAGGTGTTTTGCATACGCATTCATGAACATGTACAAAGTATCCCTGTCACGAAAAAGTCCCGCAACCGATTGAGTCAAAAGCAGAAGCAGCAGCAAAACTAACACAGATCGAACCACGAACAAAACAGTTGCATCCAATGCAGGGGCTTAAATGGGGCGGGATGGTCAGTTGATTTCGCCTGGGATATTATGGAGAGTTAAATATGGGAATAGCACTAAATGTGCTAAAAAATTTGTAACTTTTCGTATACTACACTACAAACGAAATTTAAAGTGGCGCCCTTTCGAGGATCTGAACATTGATCGCTTTATATGTACATGTGTCTGGAGGAAGTTTCCCAATTGGGAATTGCCGTACCTAGAACGGCTTTGTAAAAAACACAGTTTCGGTCAACACATACATATGTATACATATGTACATGTACATTCATGAATGTTTCAACCGGTTCATGCGCCTAAATGTAAGTAAGCACATGTATGTACATATTTATGAATGTAGGTGGAATGATGTATAGATACGCATATGCAGGCATTCCGGACAGTCTTACTTACGATTTTCGTCATTACTCAAACCTGAGAGGATCCAAAGTATAACCAATAATATAATGCAGTATATGTAGATCGAACTAATAAAAAAATTTCGTGAAAATATGCACTAAGGCCAATACAATTCATCGATTAAGAAATTTTCACGTTATTCGCATATGTACCTACATATGTACGCACAGTACAGCATAGGCACACGCAGGCATATACGTACATATGCACATGCTTACATATTCTTTTTCGGTACATTCATACATTGCCTACAGACATATGTACTTACATATATGCACGGATAGGATAGAGAGTACAAACACACATAAAAGATACAAAAATAAAAGATAAAGATACTAACAGCGAGTCATCGGTACGGTACTCGTATTTTATTGTGTACACATGCATGTATTTCTGTCTTGTGGTTTTCGCTAGCGATGTTTCTGTTTTCGATTTTCACGGTGGATGTGGATGCCGAAAGCAAGAGCAGGAGCAGCAGACCCAGACAGCAAGAAATAAGTATTTATGTAGATATATATTTACATAATATGCATGCGAGTCGTACATATTTATGTACTCACGTTTCGCTTGTTTTTGGGTAAATATATTATAGTATACAGTAGTTGTAGACTCTAGCCGTTGTTACACTGTTACTGTTATTGTACTGCTTTGTTTTGTATAATTCCAGTGCATAATTTCAATTTCGTGTATACACATGTACATACATATAGATATGAATGTATGTACATACATACATTCAATCCCACACAACTCAAAGTTGTATAAATGTGTTGAAATTTTGGCAATCGTTATACAACATAAGTGCATGCGAGCATCACAAAACTGCAGAATGCTGGGAGTCACAATCAAGGGAATCAAAACAAAACTATGAAATTAATGTGTGAATATTTTTTTAGCTGCTATTCATGCAATAAAACCCGAACCGTCACGAACCGTCACCACTAAATGCCGCAAATTGAAAGACGAAAGCTTTAGTAAAAAGCTTCTGATTGTGATTAAGTTCAAAAAACAATATAGCACCAACTTTTCAGTTACAACTAACGCGTTTTCTCTAATGTTAAGATATTTTAGGGAGATACAATAGGCACTATCGATAACTTTATTCGGGTAAGTATTAATATATAAAATATAAGCAAGGTAAGTGCATACGGTATATACATGTGCATCTGAGTACTGGGCTTTTGTAGGAAAATAATACATCTGTCGGATAAATTATATGTTCGGTGCTGAGGATGCTATTATTTTTTACTATTTATTTTCATTTAGATTTACTCAAGAATATTAGGCAATTCACAAATTGTAGTGCAGTTCATGTTAAGGATTTCGAGGATGGGTTAAGTTCGTTTATATCCTCTGTACATATACGTTTATCCGGATAGTCCAAAAAAAATCAGTCTATGATAGAGAAGCTTTGAAAATGAAATATTAATATTAATTAATGGAATTAGGGTATACAAACGTATATTATCAAATGACGTTGCATTCCGTTCCCACTCACGTAACGTTTTCTGCTATATTTGTTATCTGGCCTTTTAGTTTTAAAGTTAAGTTGGAAACATTCCAAGTAAAAGATGTCGTGAAAACTAGCCAATCTTTTGGAAAATTGTTTGATAAATAGGATAAAACTATAGTTTTAGCGCGGAAACTCCTAACTATCTAGTAATATCAAATAGACAATAAAAATCGAGAAAAATAATTTAAGATTTACGGTATATTTACAGTATATTTTGAAAATTCAAGGGTATCCTTTTTCGATAACACCGCGGTCACACTGATTTCCGTCGGTGCGCGTGTGTGTGTGTTTGTGTGTACGTACTTCTGATTTTATTTTATTTGAAAAAATAATTCAATTGTTGCATTTAATTTTTGTTTTTAAAGAACGAAACCTTCACGAAATTTGTCACATACATGCTCATAATTATAAATATACTCGCATGCATAAATATATTTTTCGGAATTGTATCTATGTGTGTGTGTGTAGTACGTAGGAACACTAAAAGTTAAATGTTGATTTGAGTTTAAGACATTGTGCATATCTGTGTTGAAATGAAATAAAGTTTTGGTTGTTTATGCACTGAACTCATCAATCAAAACAATCGTTTGCAAGAGTAAGAGTAAATTGTGAATTTATACATGCATACATACTGTTACATGTACACGCATTCATTTGCACGTATGTATATGCGCACATATGCAATTGCGAAAACGTTCAAGGTTTTTTCCTTCTGTGTAAGGGAAAAGCTAAAGGGGAAAAGCTAATATCATCAGGGCAGCATTTTCGTGAATAAATTTACCCTCATTCCCATTCCCTTATGTAGCAATTGTGTCCGTGCTTTGCACATTTGTATACGAATACCAACCTCCCAACCACCCATTTATGATGAGCTATACTTTTTCATAGTAGGGATTGAGCAGTGACCGGGTTCAAGTTGAACCGAAGAGCGAAAGTGCAAGAATCGTAATAGACGCAAATATTTACCAATCCACAAATTGTTCTTTGACCGTATTTCGTAATGTCCGATCTTGGAAGTGGAGATGAAGGCATCTCAGGAGGATCAAGTAGGTCGATGTGGCGAGTGTGTTGCCTGTGCACTGACAAACATTCCCCTTATTTTTATTCTAGAATATAATGTTGCTAACATGGAGGGTTCCTCAAGCAGAAACGATTTCGATTCTTCTGGCAAAGGTACATAACATACAAATCAAATCTACTGATGATTACTGCGTTTAGCACCCAACCCTGACTGTTTGCTAATGTTTTGAAGGTGGCGGTACAGTGGAACAGGAACTGGCTACGAAGATGCTTCAAATACAATCGAAGCGATTCTATCTAGATGTAAAACAAAATCGGCGCGGTCGTTTTATTAAAGTAGCAGAGGTAAAAACAAGAAAGAACGGTCATTTTTAAAATCTGTTCTTAGATTAACACCCAATAGGAAAGATAAGATAGATACTTATTATGTCCCTATATAATACTTACATTTGTATGTATGCACAAATGTAAGTCTTAGAGCGTAAGATTATCTCGAGTATCCAATGATAAAATCGCTTCGTACGCGTCACAACTTTTGTACTCGGTTCTCAGTCAGTACATCTGTACCGTAATGGTTTTTATACCCTGTACTCGAAGAGTAAATAGGGTATATTGTATTTGTGGGGAATAGCGGATCTTTGTAACGCACAGAAAGTAACCCATAAAGTATTTATATTCTTGATCAGCATCAATAACCAAGTCGATTGACCCATATCTGTCTGTCCGTCCTTATGAGCGCCTAGAACGAAGAGACCATTAGAGATCGGGCAACCAAGTTTTGCATCCAGACATCTGTATGCTCACACTGGTACAAGTGTATTTCAAAAATGAGCCCCGCCCCCACAAAGAGCGAAAATCTCCCACAGCCACAATTTTGAAGATAAAAGAAAACTACAAACGCCATTCTGTAGTGAATAACCATATCTATCAGATCACCGATCAGATTGGATCATTAACCAAACCCAGAAGCTTTTTTATACCCGGTACTCGAAGAGTAAATAAGGTATATTGTATTTGTGCGCAAAGTATGTAACACACAGAAGGAAACGTTTTCGACCGTATAAAGTATCTATATTCTATATTGATCAGCATCAATAGCCGAGTCGATTGAGTCATGACTTTCTGTCCGTCCTGATGAGCGCCTAGTACTCAGAGACTATAAGAGCTAGAGCCACCAAATGTTGCATCCAGACTTCTGTATGCTCACACTGTTACAAGTGTTATTTCAAAAATGAGCCACGCCCCCGCAAAAGGGCGAAAACCCTGACAAAACACCGCTGAGGTGCAGAAGTAGTACTGAGTGCCGGGTATAAAAGTTTTGACGCATAAGAAGCGTCTCACACGTCCCTTCTCGTTTTTATACCCGGTACTCGAAGAGTAAATAGGGTATATTGTATTTGTGGGGAATAACGGTTGTATGTAACGCATAGAAGGAAACGATTCCGACCCCATAAAGTATATATATTCTTGATCAGCATCAATAGCCGAGTCGATAGAGCCATGTCTGTCTGTCCGTCTTGTTTGTCGGCTAGTTCTCAGAGACTAAGAGCTAGAGCCACCAAATTTTGCATCCAGACTGCTATATGCTCACACTGAAACCAGTGCATTTAAAAAATGAGCCACGCCTCCTTCCGCCCCCGCAAAAGGGCGAAAACCTCCCAAATCTACAATTTTGAATTCCGTAGGAAATGGCCATATCTATCAGATCACTAAATTGGGATCCGATCGGATCATTATTATAGCCACCATGGAGAAATTAATTTTCAGTGGCTAAACCCACCCTGTCCCGCAGCTTTTGTTGCTCTTTTTACATTCTCTCATTCACACTCTGCATCTGCTTCACTCGGCCCCTGCCGCTGCCTCTTCCGACTTTTAACCCACCCCGACCCGCAGCTAATATATTTTTTTTTTTGTGTGCGGGCGCTGCCTCTGCTTCGAGTCTGCAGTGTGTGGGTCTAGGGAAGGGCGGCGAGCTAAAGGAGCGTGTTGGTGTAAGAAGTGTTGTAGAAGTGCATCTGTTGACAGATGAAGAAAAAATGTAAAAGTTGACAAATAACCGCTAAGGTGCAGATGTAGTACTGAGTGCCGGGTATAAAAGTTGTGACGCGTAAGAAGCGTCTCACACGTCCCTTCTCGTTTTTGTGTGCGGACGGTGCCTCTGCCTCTGCCTCGAGTCTGCAGTGTGTGGGTCTAGGGAAGGGTGGCGAGCTAACGGAGCGTGTTTTAGATGTAGATGACAGATGAAAAGAAAATTTTAAATTTGACAAAACACCGCTAAGGTGCAGATGTAGTACTGAGTGCCGGGTATAAAAGTTGTGACGCGTAAAAAGCGTCTCACACGTCCCTTCTCGTTAATATTTCTCTTTTAGCTCGCCCCCTAGAGCTTCTGTACATCTTCTGTATCAACAATTTTGAAGTTAAGAGAAAACTAAAAATGCTGTGCCGCAGAGACTGGCCATATCTATCAGATAGCCGAATAAGGATTAGATTGGATTGTTATTATAGGCATACGACGAATTTAATGTACAGGGCCTTTCAGCACCTTTGTTTATATTATTTGTTCATGCTATATCGCTCGGCCACTTGGCATGCGAGTTGGCATAAGAAGTGATGCAGATGTAAAAAAATTAAAAATGGTAAAAAATCAATCAATCAATGCAATCATTTGTACCTATGTATGGTTACATACGTACGTATGTATTTACATTCATATCAATGTACATATATATTGACTGAGCTCCGGGTATGAAGGTTGTGAAGCTTACGAAGCGTCTCGCGTTGCTTCATTTTATATCCGTCATAGGAAATTATAGACTAGTGTCGTATACGTGTCTTACAGTCTGTAACTCTCATTGGTTGTACTCTAAGAAAGTTGTATTAATTTCAGATTGGTGCTGATGGCAGGCGAAGTCAAATATATTTGGCCCTTTCAACTGCTGCCGAATTTCGCGACCATTTATCATCCTTTAGTGATTACTATGCATCACTAGGTACAAAATCAAGGTTGTACCCTTGCAGAGCGGACAAGAACATACAATTGAAAACAACCTCTCTGTAGTTAAATTAAAAATGTGTCGAAGATAGTCTTCTTATCTTTTTACTGAGAAATTGTAAAATCATATTGATTTGGCCGTCCGTGTGTTTATTTTTTTTTAGTCCACTGAGATTATCAGGGTTAGTGAAGCCATCCAAATTAAACCACTCTTTTAAAAAGTAAATTAAAAGCGTTTGAGAAAAGAAAACAAAAGATATAAGCAAATAATACAATGAAAGCATTAATCTAGTTGAAAAAAAATCGGCGCGGGCGGTCGGTTAAAGTAGTCGAGGTTGGTGCAATCGTTCAAAATGTATTCGTTTTTGGATTCTGCAAGGGTATTTGAACATCGGCAAGCCGAATCTACGATTTTCTGTTGTTTTAGTTAGATTATTTTGGAATTAATAAATTAATTATTAATAATAAGCTGGTCAAAACACAGGCCCTCCGAACACAGACAATTTGCCGGAGGATGGTAAATTGAAGTCCGAGATGATGATCAAAGATTACAGAAGATATTATTTGGATCTGAAGGAGAATGCCCGTGGACGTTTTCTTCGGGTAATATGTATTTAATTGGAAACTATTGACGAACCTAAGCTAACAATACAAATTTGAAGGTATCACAAACCATAACAAGGGGTGGACCTCGATCGCAAATCGCACTACCAGCTCAGGGAATGATCGAGTTTCGAGATGCGCTCACAGACTTACTGGAAGAGTTTGGTGCTAATGATGGAGGGTATAGTAAACATATATTTTCCATTTTATTCATGTGGACATATGGACATTGTACATATATTGTACACAGGATTTCATTTAAATTTCATTTGGTTGTCCTCCGTCTTGGTTATTATACCCGGTACTCGAAGGGTAAATGGGTGCTACTGCTAAATTTTCTGCTACATCAACAATTTTGAATTCAAGATAAATCAAAAAACGCGGTTCCGTAGAGAATGGCCATATCTAACAGATCCCCGGATAAGGATCAGATTGGATCATTATTATACCCAGATTGATGAAATTAATTGACAAAAGGCTACCCCATGCCCCTTGCAGTAGCCCTACATACTCTCGCTCATTCTGGAGGAGGGAGCGCGCTAAAAAGCTTGTGAGAAGTGATGTAGATGTAGATTTAGAGCTGTAGATACAGCTGGAGAAATGTGAAATTCTAAAAATAAGATTACATACATAGATAAATTTTTTCATATGCACTGACTGAGACCGGGTTTAAATATGTGACGAGTACGAACGCAACGTTCCTACTTTTTTTTTTATCATTTTTCTCAATGTAAATAACATCGTAATGAATCAGATATGTAATATATAAAAATATATAATTCAAAATTATTTGTTTTCGTTAGGTTTAAAGGAGATTTGCCGGAAGAGCGTCATATGAAAGTCGATAATAAAAACTTTTACTTTGATATTGGACAAAATAATCGTGGAGTCTATATGCGGATAAGTGAAGTATGTATTAACACTAAATATAAAATGCATTTAAAGATCTGACTTAATTGTCATAGGTGAAAAATAATTTTCGAACCTCAATTACTATCCCAGAGAAGTGCTGGATACGCTTTCGTGATATTTTTAATGATTACTGCGACAAAATGAAGAAAACGTCCGACCCAACCACTGCCGACATTAATCTACCGATATCTGCAAGTAGTCTTAAATAAAGAGTTTTGGAGAAAAGCAATTGTAAACGATGAGTGCAAAATTCTTGGCTCCTAACACACGCGAGAGCCTATCAAAAGTGAAGCAAATTAGTAAGCTTGCAATGTTCAAAACAACTAAACCTTAAAATATGTGAATGTTTCAGCTTCAGCTATGAATACACACACACACACACACACTAGCATTTAGCGAATGATGTATTAGTACTTAGTTTATGTATTATATTATAATTTAACTAAATTGACTAGCGTTAAAGTAGAGACAATTTGAACCCAACCAACAACCAATTCAAACACAATCGAATGAATTAACTTGTATGTAAGAGTACTCAGTCAGATTTACGTACATACCTCAGCCAAGCAACTTTAATGTTATTGATTGATATGCTTTAATGACGATGATATGAATGATATGATAATGATATGAATGACGATGCTTTAAAGCATCTGAAAAAGGTAAAACAAAATATTTATTTTTGTCTATGCTTTGACTTGATTGATTTATTTATCGAAACAGATGTACATATGTATGTACGTCTTACCGTCGCTTTGGCCGATAATAGAAACAAGCCATGGGATACGTTTCACGAGATATCTCATGAGAGTATGTACATCCATGTTGCTATTCAATAGATTATGTCGCAATCTTAATCAGGTTAAGACCACTTCGAAACTTTCATAGTAAATACATATGTACGTTGCAAATTGTTAAAGCTTCTAGATATAATATGTTAAATATTACAATATATGTATCTTAAAATAACTCCTAAAAGCGTTTTTAAAACAAAAGTTTCAATGTGATCACGTAGAATAAAAATTCTTAGATACGATAAAAATGCATAGCAAATTATATTGTGAATACATAACTCGATAGTGCAACACAGACCCATCCACATCACAATTGTTGGTCGCAGGTGGGTTATATTTTAGAGCAAAAACCAACCGAATCCTATAAATAATTATATTACATTGACATTAATGTGTATGTATGGATATACGAGTATATGAATATATGGATGCAGCGTATAAAAATTAATTTTAGTCTTTAATGTGTATGACTTTTCCGCTTTTAAGTCAAATGAGAATTGGCATTGAATTTTTATCGTAAGATTATAGAACGGGCGCTACTTCATCGCAGAAAAGCAACAAGAAACAATTGTACATGCATACATATGTTAAATTGTTACATTTAAACGTACACTGGCATGTCGCTCATGCGATATTCAGTAGGAGACGGAGTTGGAATTACAGTCGGATTCTGGCCATAAACTCTCTATACTCTTATATTTACCTGGTAAATATAAGCTTACATAGATATGAAAAAGATATAAATATATTTAAAACCCTGAAAGTTTATCTTCGATGTTGTTTGGCAAGAATACATATTGTATATTTTAAGAGTTATGTGAAAGTACTATGGAAATAAAGTTGAAACTCAATAATATAGGAATGATATTTGTGTCGATAAGTGTAAAAAATATGATCAATTAAACAATGATAGTGGCTGGATTTATCCTATCTTGGTTTTGGAAAGAAACAGTAAATCATACATTTCGCAATCAAACTCACAGATAGCTACCAAAACCATGATGGTCTAATGATGTGTGCGTCAGGGGCGCAAAGACAATAAACACAATTTGTTACGACCACAACTCGCATTTTAATAACCAGTTTTCATATATAAGTTCATGAAAGCTTAATATTGACTAAATGATCTCCGTCTATCGATCTATCTCGCCAAACACTACGTCCAATGTTCCAATAATAGCAACGACATCGGCCAACATGTGCTGCTTGCCAATCTTCTCCAGCGCCGCCAAGTGGGCAAATCCGGGAGCTTTGATCTTGCAGCGATAAGGACGGCTGGAGCCATCCGACACTAAATAAACACCAAACTCGCCTTTGGGAGCTTCTATTGCTGTATATGTGGCGCCAGGTGGCACTTGGAAGCCTTGAGTAAAAAGCTTAAAATGATGAATAAGTGCCTCCATAGACGTTTTCATTTCGGATCGGGACGGAGGCGTCACTTTAGCATCGTCCGTCTTGATTTCCCCTGCTGGCATTTGGTTCAGGCACTGGTCTATTATACGCAGGGACTGACGCATTTCCTCGATGCGGCAGAGGTAGCGATCATAGCAGTCGCCTTTTGTGCCAATCGGCACGTCAAAGTCCACGAGATGGTAGGCATCGTACGGCTGCTGCTTACGTAAGTCCCATTTGATTCCTGAACCTCGGAGCATGACGCCACTGAAGCCATAATTAAGGGCCTCGTCAGCAGTTACAATGCCGATGTCCTCGGTACGTTGCACCCATATGCGGTTTGTGCTAAGCACATCCTCCACTTCGTCCAGGCGCTCGGCGAATTTTGAGGCAAACTCATAGATATCGTCCATTAAACCAAGCGGCATATCCTAAAAGCTCAGAAATAGTCACTATAGATTTGGACAACCTCTGACGTGCACATTACCAACGATACACCACCAGGTCGAATATACGCCGCATGCATACGAGCTCCGGAAACACGCTCGTAAAACTCCATCATTTTTTCGCGCTCTTCAAAAAGCCAAAAGAAAGGAGTGAGTGCGCCGACGTCTAGGGCATGTGTCCCCACAGCCATTATATGGTTTAGAATGCGTGTAATTTCAGCAAACAGCGCTGGAGTGAATATAGTGAGAAATATATTTATTGTACTGATTTGACCTCAATAGACTTACTGCGTATGTACTTAGCCCGGAGAGGCACATCAATATTAAGCAGCTTTTCCACGGCTAGAGAATAACACTGCTCGTTGCACATCATCGAAACATAGTCCAAGCGATCAAAATAGGGTAGCGCCTGTGTATACGTCTTGTACTCAATGAGTTTCTCCGTACCACGGTGGAGTAATCCGATATGTGGATCCGCACGCATTACAGTCTGCAAAAAGAAAAGATACCAGTACCATGATGGTTCTGTTTTCATTACTTCTCTCTCACACTACAAGAACAACACACTAACCTCGCCGTCCAGTTCAAGCACCAGCCGGAGTACTCCATGGGCCGCGGGATGTTGCGGCCCGAAATTTAGAGTCAAATTGCGAACCGACTTCTCGACGGGCGTGACTTTGCCTATTCAGGGTTTGGGTCAAAGAGCTACACTAAATATTGTCAATGGATGTGTGCCTTAGCAATATACATACTGTTCCATGGGGGCACCTTCCATAGAGAAGTTACCTCGTCGGGATACATCACAGGGCCACTGAACTGTTTCATAAATTCCGGATCTGGGTACCATTTCGCAGCCCCACGGCGGTGCTGGTGCGAACTGAGAGCAGGAGGAAAGCCGATTCTAAGCAATTTGCTACAGTTATGTAAGCGGTGAGAAGCTTTACCTTAGTAAACCGCATCCTATTACAGAGGACTGCGGTTGATGTAACCCAAAACCCTGCAACTGCAACCCGGACAGCAGTGAACGCTTCAAAATGTTGGCAAAAGCCATTTTTTACAACAAAATGGAGCTAAATAAATGAATTTCTTGTATATTTTGAAGGTGTTTGTTAACAGCCCTATCCACGCGTTAACAGCACTTATTTCTTTGCTTTCTCATCTTATGCATGTATCGATATCGAACTATCGTTTCAAATCTTTTGCAATTTTTAGAAAAATATATTGATCTTCAAGTAACACACTAAATCGTTTTCGCAATCACATTCGCATTCTAAATACACCTTAATAACCACAAAATTACACCAAAAAAGATCGAACATTTTTAAAATAGATTGAGCTACTTAGCATTTTCAATAGCTGTATTTTGGGATTTATATTTTAGGTGTAAACAAGGTGATCTTAACAAAATTAGTTTAAAGCCCAGTACTCAGATGCTCAAACAATTTTTTGCAAACGATAAGAATTCAAACCTGTTTTATATACCCAGAAAATATACCAAAAAGAGATAGGTCAAAAGAGTGTTGCATCCAGACTTCTGTATGCTCACACTGTTACAAGTGTATTTTCAAAATGAGCCCCGCACATTCCGCCCCACAAAGGGCGAAAACAAGCCACAATTTTGAAGATAAAAGAAAACGCCATTCTGCAGGGAATGACCATATCTATCAGTTCACCGATTTGGGATCCGATTAGATCATTATTATAGCCAGAATGAAGAAATTAATTTTCAGTGGCTAAGCCCACCTCGTCCCGCAGTTTTTTTTTTGTGTTTTTACATTCTCTCATTCACACTCTGCTTCGTGCAGTGTGCGGCTCCATGCGAGGGGGCGAGCTAAAAGAGCGTGTTGGTGTGAAAAGTGATGCAGATGTAGATTACAAATTAAGAAAAAAGGTAAGATTTAAAAAAATAAATGCTAAGGTACAGATGTGGTACTGAGTACCGGGTATAAAAGTTTTGACGCGTAAGATGCGTCTCACACGTCCCTTCTCGTTTACGATTATTATCGTAATGATAATTATCAATGCAGAAACCAAAAAAACGTAAGTTTCGTTTAAAACCGATATAAAAAAAAAAACGAGGAGGGAGGTGTGTTTCTATGCGTCACAACTTTTATACCCGGTACTCAGTGGGACATCTGTACCTTAGTGGTCTTTTCAAATATTAAATTTGTTCTACATATGTCATCCACATCTTCATCTGGTGATCTGATAGATATGGCCATCCCTACGGAATTGCGTATTAAGCTTTCTCTTATCTGTTTAATTTATATTATAATTTTTGGAATTCACAATAGTCTGGAGGCAAAATTCGGTGGCTCTAGCTTTTATAGTCTCTGAGAACTAGCCGGCAAACAAGACGGGCAGACAGAAATGGCTATATAGACTCGGCTATTGATGCTGATCAAAAATATCTATACTTTATCGGGTCCAAAACGTTTCCTTGTGTGCGTTACATACATACATTTTTGTGCACAAATACAATATACACTATTTACTCCTCGAGTACCGGGTATAATAATTAAAAATATCTGCTTGAACGTTGATTTCCAATGACTGCACCATCAAGTGACCCTTGCGACACCAAGCCTGTTACGCGCGGAACCCGGAAAACCTAAAGAATAAAATAAAACCAATTACGGGACCGGTTGGCTGGTAGTAATGATTTAAGAGGAGGAAGGGAGTTAGTGGTGCATATAATATGGTAGAGGGAATTATAATCCGAGCA